GGAGTTAGGTTAAAGGGTTAAGGTTAGGGTTAGGGGAAAGAAGTAGCTAAAAGGTAGTTGAAAAGTTTCTAATGAGCTAAAATTCTAAAGTAATCCGTGATGAGATTCGAACTTGAGACGCTCGCATTATACACCCACCCACCCCAATCAACCACCCTACTTTCATTTTTGCCTTAAGTAACCATCTGTCTTATCTAACCATACCAAACGTAACATATCATACTAAATGGATTCCTTCGGATTTACGTACAGAATAATACGAAATGCTCTGAGACCAGGTTGCACGGGCGGACCTGCAGTATTGCTGGGTGCAAGACTGATCTCTCTAAATGTGAAGGACAGAGGAACTTGGAGCTCATTCATGGGGTAATGGTTGGATTGACAATTGATTTTAATCGTTTTTAAGCCTTGTTTTAATCTCTGGAGGAGCTTTCTTTTTTTGCACAGTATTTTAGTTGCCATCAACACGCAACACAGCACAGCACGAACGGACAGCACGAATGGACAGAGACAGTGTTGCGGTACTGAGGGACCTGACAGAAGGGAGTGTTGTCACAGGCTATGAGTAGGGGAGAAATAGACCCAGCACGAGTGTGGACGTGAGAATCCTATTGTATGCCGTGGAAAATACAGTGGGACTGCACAAAAGGACATTCTCACCCGACCTGGAGTGGACTCTTAAAGGGGCAGCAGGCGATTTCAAAAGATACAGATTTTTGAATCTCTTAAAAGGTCAGTTTCCTATATCAGAAAATACTATTTTTGAGACCTTTTCCCCCTCCCCTCAATCCCCCTTCCCTTGAGAGCAATAAACTCTGACTATTTAACAAATCAAATCAAATTGTATTTGCCACATGCGCCGAATACAACAGGTGTAGACATTACAGTGAAAGGCTTACTTACAAGCCCTTAACCAAAAAAGCATTTTTTACAGATTTCTTTTTTTTTTAAGTGTTAAAAACCGTACTATGCCATTGTTTGAGATTGCGGGAGGAGTACCCTGGATATGGGGAACCTCGTGATGAAGAGGTTAAGTAAAAAAAAATTAAGCAAATAACTAAAGAGCAGCAGTAAAATAAAATTACAAATTATAAAACAGTAGGGAGACTACAGTGAGGGAATTAAGTATTTGATCCCCTGCTGATTTTGTACGTTTGCCCACTGACAAAGACAGTCTATAATTTTAATGGTAGGTTTATTTGAACAGTGAGAGAGAGAGAATAACAACAAAAAAATCCAGAAAAACACGTCAAAAATGTTATAAATTGATTTGCATTTTAATGAGGGAAATAAGTATTTGACCCCCTCTCAATCAGAAAGATTTTTAGCTCCCAGATGTCTTTTATACAGGTAACGAGCTGAGATTAGGAGCACACTCTTAAAGGGAGTGCTCCCAATCTCAGCTTGTTACCTGTATAAAAGACACCTGTCCACAGAAGCAATCAATCAATCAGATTCCAAACTCTCCACCATGGCCAAGACCAAAGAGCTCTCCAAGGATGTCAGGGTCAAGATTGTAGACCTACACAAGGCTGGAATGGACCATCGCCAAGCAGCTTGGTGAGAAGGTGACAACAGTTGGTGCGATTATTCGCAAATGGAAGAAACCCAAAATAACTGTCAATCTCCCTTGGACTGGGGATCCATGCAAGATCTCACCTCGTGGAGTCGCAATGATCATGAGAACGGTGAGGAATCAGCCCAGAACTACACGGGAGGATCTTGTCAATGATCTCAAGGCAGCTGGGACCATACTCACAAAGAAAACAATTGGTAACACACTACGCTGTGAAGGACTGAAATCCTGCAGCGCCCGCAATGTCCCCCTGCTCAAGAAAGCACATATACAGGGCCATCTGAAGTTTGCCAATGAACATCTGAATGATTCAGAGGAGAACTGGGTGAAAGTGTTGTGGTCAGATGAGACCAAAATCGAGCTCTTTTTGGCTTCAACTCAACTCGCCGTGTTTGGAGGAGAAGGAATGCTGCCTATGACCCCAAGAACACCATCCCCACCATCAAACATGGTGGAAACATTATGCTTTGGGGGTGTTTTTCTGCTAAGGGGACAGGACAACTTCACCGCATCAAAGGGACGATGGACGGGGCCATGTACTGTCAAATCTTGGGTGAGAACCTCCTTCCCTCAGCCAGGGCATTGAAAATGGGTCGTGGATGGTTATTCCAGCATGACAATGACCCAAAACACACGGCCAAGGCAACAAAGGAGTGGCTCAAGAAGAAGCACATTAAGGTCCTGGAGTGGCCTAGCCAGTCTCCAGACCTTAATCCCATAGAAAATCTGTGGAGGGAGCTGAAGGTTCGAGTTGCCAAACGTCAGGCTCGAAACCTTAATGACTTGGAGAAGATCTGCAAAGAGGAGTGGAACAAAATCCCTCCTGAGATGTGTGCAAACCTGGTGGCCAACTACAAGAAACGTCTGACCTCTGTGATTGCCAACAAGGGTTTTGCCACCAAGTACTAAGTAATGTTTTGCAGAGGGGTCAAATACTTATTTCCCTCATTAAAATGCAAATCAATTCATAACATTTTTGACATGCGTTTTTCTGGATTTTTTTGTTGTTATTCTGTCTCTCACTGTTCAAATAAACATACCATTAAAATTATAGACTGATCATGTCTTTGTCAGTGGGCAAACATACAAAATCAGCAGGGAATCAAAAACGTAATTCCCTCACTGTATATACAGGGGGGTACAGGTGCAAAGTCAATGTGCTGGGGCACCGGCTAGTCGAGGTAATTGAGGTAATATGTACATGTGGGTAGAGTTAAAGTGACTATGCATAAATAATAAACAGAGTAGCAGCAGCGTAAAAGAGGGGGTTGGGGGTGGGGAGGCAGTGCAAATAGTCCGGGTAGCAATGATTAGCTGTTCAGGAGTCTTATGTATTGGGGTTAGAAGCTGTTGAGAAGCCTTTTGGACCTAGACTTGGTGCTCCGGTACCGCTTGCTGTGCATTAGCAGAGAGAACAGTCTATGACTAGGGTGGCTGGAGTCTTTGACAATTTTGAGGGCCTTCCTCTGTCACCACCTGGTATAGAGGTCCTGGATGGCAGGAAGCTTGGCCCCAGTGATGTACTGGGCCTTACGCACTACCCTCTGTAGTGCCTTACGGTCGGAGGCCGAGCAGTTGCCATACCAGGCGGTGATGCAACCAGTCAGGATGCTCTTGATGGTGCAGCTGTAGAACTGTAGGCTTTGTCGTGCCCTCTTCACGACTGTCTTGGTGTGTTTGGACCATGATAGTTTGTTGGTGATGTGCACACCAAGGAAGCTCTCAACCTGTTCCACAACAGCCCCGTCGATGAGAATGGGGGCGTGCTCAGTCCTCTTTTTTTTTCCTGTAGTCCACAGTCATCTCCTTTGTCTTGATCACGTTGAGGGAGAGGTTGTTATCCTGGCACCACACGGCCAGGTCTCGGACCTCCTCCCTATAGGCTGTCTCATCGTTGTCGGTGATCAGGCCTACACTGTTGTGTCGTCAGAAAACTTAATGATGGTGTTGGAGTCGTGCCTGGCCATGCAGTCATGGGTGAACAGGGAGTACAGGAGGGGACTGAGCACGCACCCCAGAGGGGCCCCCGTGTTGAGGATCAGCGTGGCAGATGTGTTGTTACCTACCCTTACCACCTGGGGGCGGCCAGTCAGGAAGTCCAGGATCCAGTTGCAGAGGGACGTGTTTAGTCCCAGGATCCTTAGCTTAGTGATGAGCTTTGAGGGCACTATGGTGTTGAACGCTGAGCTGTAGTCAATGAACAGCATTCTCACGTAGGTGTTCCTCTTGTCCAGGTGGGAAAGGGAAGTGTGGATCTGTTTGGGCGGTATGCAAATTGGAGTGGGTATAGGGTTTCTGGGATAATGGTGTTGATGTGAGCCATGACCAGCCTTTCAAAGCACTTCATGGCTTCAGACGTGAGTGCTACGGTTATCTTAGTGTCCTTGGGCACAGGGACTATGGTGGTCTGCTTGAAACATGTTGGTATTACAGACTCAGTCAGGGACATGTTGAAAATGTCAGTCAAGACACTTGCCAGTTGGTCAGCACATGCTCGGAGTACACATCCTGGTAATCCGTCTGGCCCTGCGGCCATGTGAATGTTGACCTGCTTAAAAGTCTTACTCCCATCGGCTACGGACAGCGTGATCACATAGTCATCCGGAACAGCTGGTGCCCTCATGCATGCTTTAGTGTTGCTTGCCTCGAAGCGAGCATAGAAGTGATTTAGCTCGTCTGGTAGGCTTGTGTCACTGGGCAGCTCGTGGCTGTGCTTCTTTTTGTAGTCTGTAATAGTTTTCAAGCCCTGCCACATCCGACAAGTGTCGGAGCCGGTGTAGTACCATTCAATCTTAGTCCGGTATTGACTCTTTGCCTCTTTGATGGTTCGTTGGAGGGCATAGCGGGATTTCTTATAAGCGTCCGGGTTAGAGACCCGCTCCTTGAAAGCGGCAGCTCTACCCTTTAGCTCAGTGCGGATGTTGCCTGTAATCCATGGCTTCTGGTTGGGGTACGTACGGTCACTGTGGGGACGACGTCATCAATGCACTTATTGATGAAGCCAGTGTGTGGTCTGTGTGAACTGGAGAGATTGAACCTAGGTGTCTTTAGTCCTCTTTTACAGAGGTCTTGGTCTTTCTTCATACAGAGGTCCTAGCCCTCTTTTAAACACTAAGTGGTGTAGTATGGCTACAGACTATAATGTGACAGAACGCATATCCTCTTCGGCTAGCTGTGTGCTCGTTATAGCTAGCTACTAACCCACGAGGTGAACGCTAGCTAGCTAATGACTTGATAGATAGACAGCTAAGCTTCAGACAGCACACACATAGCCCGGGTGACCACACAAGACCAGCAGACTACCTATTCTCCCACACCCGTGCCCATGTGGGGCTTTCATGTTGAGCAGGGATACCCATCCCTTGTGCATTGACTGTCTGGGACTGGAACATGCCCAGGCAGGACTCGCTAACCCGAGTCCTGCATGCATTGCAAGGAGTTGCCGAAGAATAGGCTCAAACGTTGGGTGCGGCAGGCTGCCGTCCAACGAGGCTCCTCTTCCTCCCAGCCTTCGGGCCAAGAGGCAACTCGACGACCTTCCCCTGCCCGTATAGAGAAAGACTGGGATGAGGTTATGGAGAGTCTCCCCCTGGACATGCTGTTTGATGACCTGATCATTGAAGAGGATGATGACACAATGAAGAGGAGGACAAGGAGGAGGATCCCCCGCCTCCCACCTCCAGACACTCCTACTCTGGAGTACGGGTTCGTTGACATGCGCAAACAGGCTGCAGCCAAGTTCAACACTGACTGGCTTCCCCCATCGGGGGGGCGAAGACTCGGAGAGAGACTGGTTCGATGGGAAGAGGGTCTTGTACCGTCCCCAGGAAGTAGCGTATCCCATCAATACCAGCCTGTCTGGTACAGGTCAAATGGAACTGGGACAAGCCCCTAACCGGCAAGGTTGTTACCAGGTAACTCGCTGCCATGGATATGCAGGGTATGGAGGACCTGGGGTTCTGCCAACCGCCAGTCATACAACACTCTGTGGCTAGCCATACTCCAGAAGGTGTTTGTGTCCGCAGCACGCTCTTCTAGGGCACAGAACATCACCACTCTATTGATGACATATCAAGGAGCGCAACTAGATGAGATGGGCAATCTCCTGGACAAGAACTCACCCAACCCACTTGCAAAAGTATTCATCCCCCTTGGAGTTTTTCCTATTTTGTTGCATTACAACCTGTAATTTAAATGGATTTTTATTTGGATTTCATGTAATGGACATACACAAAATAATCCAAATTGGTGAAGTGAAATGAAAAAAATAACTTATTTCAAAAAATTCTAAAAAATAAATATAGGAACAGTGGTGCGTGCACATGTATTCACCCCCTTTGCTATGAAGCCCCTAAATAAGATCTGGTGCAACCAATTACCTTCAGAAGTCACATAATTAGTTAAATAAAGTCCACCTGTGTGCAATCTAAGTGTCACATGATCTCAGTATATATACACCTGTTCTGAAAGGCCCCAGAGTCTGCAACACCACTAAGCAAGGAGCACCACCAAGCAAGCGGCACCATGAAGACCAAGGAGCTCTCCAAGCAGGTCAGGGACAAAGTTGTGGAGAAGTACAGATCAGGGTTGGGTTATAAAAAATATCCGAAACTTTGAACATCCCACGGAGCACCATTAAATCCATTATTAACAAATGGAAATAATATGGCACCACAACAAACCTGCCAAGAGAGGGCCGCCCACCAAAACTCACGGACCAGGCAAGGAGGGCATTAATCAGAGAAGCAACAAAGAGACCAAAGACATCCCTGAAGGAGCTGCAAAGCTCCACAGCGGAGATTGGAGTATCTGTCCATAAGACCACTTTAAGCCGTACACTCCACAGAGCTGGGCTTTACGGAAGAGTGGCCATAAAAAAGCATTGCTTAAAGAAAAAAATAAGCAAACACGTATGGTCTTCGCCAAAAGGCATGTGGGAGACTCCCCAAACATAGGGAAGAAGGTTCACTGGTCAGATGAGACTAAAACTGAGCTTTTTGGCCATCAAGGAAAATGCTATGTCTGGCGCAAACCCAACACCTATCATCACCCCGAGAACACCATCCCCACAGTGAAGCATGGTGGTGGCAGCATCATGCTGTGGGGATGTTTTTTATCGGCAGGGACTGGGAAACTGGTCAGAATTGAAGGAATGATGGATGGCGCTAAATACAGGGAAATTCTTGAGGGAAACCTGTTTCAGTCTTCCAGAGATGTGAGACTGGGACGGAGGTTCACCTTCCAGCAGGACAATGACCCTAAGCATACTGCTAAAGCAACACTTGAGTGGTTTAAGGGGAAACATTTAAATGTCTTGGAATGGCCTAGTCAAAGCCCAGACCTCAATCCAATTGAGAATCTGTGGTATGACTTAAAGATTGCTGTACACCAGCGGAACCCATCCAACTTGAAGGAGCTGGAGCAGTTTTGCCTTGAAGAAGGGGCAAAAATCCCAGTGGCTAGATGTGCCAAGCTTATAGAGACTTGCAGCTGTAATTGCTGCAAAAGGTGACTCTACAAAGTATTGACTTTGGGGGGGGGAATAGTTATGCACGCTCAAGTTTTCTGTTTTTTTGTCTTATTTCTTGTTTGTTTCACAAGAAAAAATATTTTGCATCTTCAAAGTGGTAGGCATGTTGTGTAAATCAAATGATACAAACCCCCCAAAAATCAATTTTAATTCCAGGTTGTAAGGCAACAAAATAGGAAAAATGCCAAGGGGGGTGAATACTTTCGCAAGCCACTGTATTATCAAAAATCTAAATGCAGGCTATCTAAGTTGGCTTATTCTGAACATCTCAACGTTAGTTTGTCATTGATTGCTTAAACGCTAGAGCGAGTGGAATAAATCAAATAATAATAATAATATGAGGATGTAAGACTTTCAGTGCGCTGTCCATTGTCTGGATTAATTTATTTTACAATTGAAGCTCTGAAACATCAAGAAATGCTTCCTAGATTCAATGAACTAGCACTAATTTGATATAACACTTTATAACACAATTCAAACTCTCCAGCTGGCTTTAATTCAAATATAGTATAGATTAAGTTATAAAGATACTAGCGTAATATGGTCATTATTTTGTGTCTGTATGCACAGGAGGTCTGTGGCTATCCCCTCAGCATATTCTTAATTGTTGTAAATAAATGATCCGAGAGATTCTCCTACTATGGCATGCGAGGTAAGAATATGACACAGTATCTACTACAGATACCAATACTCTTAGAACCCTTTTGGAACCCTTCTTTCTTCGGCTGTCCCCATAGGATAACCCTTTTTGGTTCCAGGGAGAACCCTTTTTGGTTCAATATAGAACCATTTTGGGTTCCATGCAGAACCTGCCATGGAAAGGGTCCTACATGGAAACCAAAAGGGTTCTACCCGCAACCAAAAGGTTTCTACCTGGAACCAAAAAGGGTTCTTCAAAGGGTTATCCTATGGGGACAGCCAAATAACCATTTTAGGTTCTAGATAGCACCCATTTTTCTAAGAGTGTACTACCACAACTACTACAGACACAACTACTGCTATCTTCTACAGATACCTATATCTACTACAACATCTTCATAGCTGTGATCAACCGTTCTAATACAGTATAGTGGCTGTGTGGAGTGCCTATCCTGAGGAGCTTCCCCTTCTCTCTCCCCTGTCCACAGCTGTGCTGGTGCTGTACTTCAGGTACTTCCTCCGGTTTGATGATGACCTGGCCACCTCCATCTACCACACCTTTGTGGCTCTGTGCTACCTGACTCCCATCCTGGGAGCCATTATAGCAGACTCCTGGCTGGGCAAGTTTAAGTAAGTGACTGTTCGGAGCCCTAGAACTAGAGTGTATTACAGAACAGGAATCCGTTCTTGCACTGGTAGCTAACACCTTGATTTCCCCTTCCCGCAGGACCATCATCTACTTGTCCATTGTCTATGCAATTGGCCAGGTTGTGATGGCAGTCAGCGCCGTTCATGACATCACGGACACAGACAGAGATGGAACGCAAGACAACTTGACCACATGAGAAGTCACATGAGAACACTTGCTGGGGTATGTCCTGACTACATGGACTTTGTGAGGTGCTACTGCAGGCATGGCCTAACAATGTTGCTCTGCCTCCTCTCTCAGTGTGTTGTCCATGGTGGGCCTGCTGCTCATTGCGCTGGGTACAGGTGGTATCAAACCATGTGTAGCTGCTTTTGGAGGAGACCAGTTTCTGGACCACCAGGTTAGCAGAATAACTCAGTATTCAGAGAATGACACCACCACTGTGTCTGTCTGTATCTTTGTCAGTAGGCAGATAGTTACTCAACACAACTACACTGAACAAAAATATAAATGCAACATGCAACATTTTCAAAGATTTTACTGAGTTACAGTTCATATAAGGAAATCAGTCAATTCAAATAAATTAATTAGGCCTTAATCTATGGATTTCACATGACTGGGAATACAGTACTCCCTGACAAAGGCCATGCAGCCAAAAACGCGTCTGAGTTTTAAAAAAAACATTGTTTCCATTGAACATGCCATACAAATAAAGGCATTTTAATTAATTATATGAACAGTGCCTTGGTCCTCCTTTCTTTTTGATGACAGATATGCATCTGTTGGTCTCAGACACCTTAAAAAAATGGTAGGGGCATGGATCAGAAAACCTATCAGTATCTGGTGTGACCACCATTTGTCTCATGTAGCGCGACACATCTCCTTCGCATAGAGTTGATCAGGCTGTTGATTGTGGCCTGTGGAATGCTGTCCCACTCCTCTTCAATGGCTGTACGAAGTTGCAGGAAATTGGGGGTACTGGAAGACACTGTCGTACACATCGATCCAGAGCATCCCAAACATGCTCAATGGGTGACATGTCTGGTGAGTATGCAGGCCATGGAAGAACTGGGACATTTACAACTTCCAGGAATTGTGTACAGATCCTTGCGACATGGGGCCATGCATTATCATGCTGAAACATGAGATGATGGCGGTGGATAAATGCCACCACAATGGGCCTCAGGATCTCATCACTGTATCTCTGTGCATTCAAATTGCCATCAATAAAATGTAATTGTGTTCGTTGTCCGTAGCTTATGCCTGCCCATACCATAACCCCACTGCCACCACGGGGCACTGTTCACAACGTTGACATCAGCAAACCGCTCTCCCACACGTCTGCCATCTGCCTGGTACAGTTGAAACCGGGATTCATCCGTGAAGGTCAGACTTCTCCAGTGTGCCAGTGGCCATCGAAGCTGAGCATTTGCCCATTGAAGTCGGTTATGACGACGAACTGCAGTCAGGTCAAGACCCTGGTGATGATGACGAGCACGCAGATGAGCTTCCCTGAGACGGTTTCTGACAGTTTGTACAGAAATTATTCGGTTGTGCAAACTCACAGTTTCATCAACTGTCCGGGTGGCTGGTCTCAGGTGATCCCACAGCTGAAGAAGCCAGATGTGGAGGTCCTGGGCTGCCGTGGTTACACATGGTCTGCGGTTGTGAGGCTGGTTGGACGTACTGCCAAGTTCTCTAAAACGATGTTGGTTTATGGTAATGAAATTAACATTCAATTCTCTGGCAACAGCTCTGGTGGACATTCCTGCAGTCAGCATGCCAATTGCACACACCCTCAAAACCTGAGACATTTGTGGTATTGTGTTGTGTGACGAAATGCACATTTTAGAGTGCCCTTTTAATGTCCCCAGCACAAGGTGCACCTGTGAAATGATCATGCTGTTTAATCAGCTTCTTGATATTCCACACCTGTTAGGTGGATGGATTATCTTGGCAAAGGAGAAATGCCCTCTAACATCGATGTAAACAAATTTATGCACAACATTTTAGAGAAATATGCTTTTTGTGTGTATGGAACATTTCTGGGATCTTTATTTCAGCTCATGAAACATGGGACCAACAATTTACATGTTGTGTTTATATTTTTGTTCAGTTTTCAAAGCCCACATACACTGAGGTAAACATGTAGAAATGTGTAATGTATCTCAAATCAAAATAAAATAAAATAGTATTTGTCACATGCGCCGAATACAACAGGTTTACCGTGAAATGCTTGCTTACGAGCCGTTTCCCAACAATGCAGAGTTAAAAAGTAAGAAAAATGTGCTCAAATTAAAAAAGGAAATAGTACCACAATAAAATAACAAAACTATATTCAAGCTGGACATATTTTTTTGCCCGCGCTACAGACTGCTATATCGGTCCACTAATACAGGACTAGTAAAGGGCCAGTGCACTACTTTTGTAGTTGATTATTTTTATTTCTGATTTTTCAGGGGGACATTTATGCAGCACTCTCAGCACCCCTACTTCCCACGGCTATGTATATGAGGAGTACCTGTACCGAGTCAATGTGCAGGAGTACGAGGTAGTTGTGGTAATTGAGGTAAAATGTACATGTACACTACCGTTCAAAAGTTTGGGGTCACTAAGAAATGTCCTTGTTTTCGAAAGAAAAGCATTTTTTTTGTCGATTTAAAATAACATCAAATTGATCCGAAATACAGTGTAGACATTGTGAATGTTGTAAATGGCTATTGTAGCTGGAAGTGGCAGATCTTTTATGGAATATCTACATAAGCGTACAGACGCCCATTATCAGCAACCATCAGTCCTGTGTTCCAATGGCACGTTGTGTTTGCTAATCTAAGTGTATCATTTAAAAAAGCTAATTGATCATTAGAAAACCCTTTTGCAATTATGTTAGCACAGCTGAAAACTGTTGTGCTGATTAAAGAAGCAATAAAACTGGCCTTCTTGAAACTAGTTGAGTATCTGGAGCATCAACATGGCCAGAAACAAATAACTTTCTTCTGAAACTCATCAGTCTATTCTTGTTCTGAGAAATGAAGGCTATTCCATGCAAAGAAAAAGCCAGATCACAGACTGCCCATCTTAATATTTTATTTTTATTGGCCAGTCTGAGCTATGGCTTTTTCTTTGCAACTCTGCCTAGAAGGTCAGCATCCCGGAGTCGCCTCTTCACTGTTGACGTTGAGACTGGTGTTTTGCGGGTACTATTTAATGAAGCTGCTAGTTGAGTACCTGTGAGGCATCTGTTTCTCAAACTAGACACTCTAATGTATTTGTCCTCTTGCTCAGCTGTGCACCGGGGCCTCCCGCTCCTCTTTCTATTCTGGTTAGAGCCAGTTTGCGCTGTTCTGTGAAGGGAGTAGTACACAGCATTGTACGAGATCTTCAGTTTCTTGGCAATTTCTTGCATGGAATAGCGTTCATTTCTCAGAACAAGAATAGACTGACGAGTTTCAGAAGAAAGTTATTTGTTTCTGGCCATTTTGAGCTTGTAATCGAACCCACAATTGCTGGTGCTCCAGATACTCAACTAGTCTCAAGAAGGCCAGTTTTCAGCTGTGCTAACATAATTGAGAAAGGGTTTTCTAATGATCAATTAGCCTTTTGTTATTAGCATACCTCCTCTTTCTTGCTCTATTGTTGCTTCATTCCTCCCTCGCTTTCAACAGTTAAATGAAATAAGTTTCAATGTCCTTATCTTTATAATTCTAATGACATCCTTGAATAATATAGGACTAGAATTAGATGTAGAAGGCTTTCTCTTCTCTTCACGAAGATTGAATGGTTATGAGTCTGAATGAATAACTGCTATAGCCTACCGCCAACGCGCGTTCGCTCTTCTTTCAAACTACCTTGTGAGTTATATTGGCTGCTGTATTTAACATTCAGCAAACAAGAGCTTGCATCCCTCTTCGAATAGTCTATTGGTATAAGAAATGCAACAACAACAAAAAATGTCCAGCAAGCTATTCTAGTCTAGCTTTTCCTGTATGGGACTCCAAGAGCTAAGGAGCGTTTTTTAAGGAGAGAGGCCAGCGGAGCACAGGTGCGTGCATATTGTGCAAGAGACGAGTTAGAAAATAGAAGCTTATTATGCATAACCCATCATTAATTAGCTAAATATAAGGCTAATACTGAATTGAATGTATTACTTGAAAGAGGTAGGCTAGGACATCTATATATAGGGCTATATATCAATATAGAACAGGATTATCTATTTTGGATGCAATTTGAATGGAGTTGATGGAGAGAAAGACTGTGAGAAGTTCTCGCGCGTGCACTGATTTAAAGTTATGATATTCAAGTGATAGGCTGTTTTAAAACTCTGCAGCTGCAATTTAACAAAATAAATCTTTACAATAAAAAAATAAGGTGACCCCCAAAAGCCAGATGGAGATGGATGAATTAGACATGCATTCGGTCTTTATATTACTGTAGCATAGACTATGCTGCAGCAAATGCAGGCCTATCTGTCACAAGAAATAAAGTTACCATGATGAGATGGATGATAGGTCTACATGCATTGTGAACTGCGCTCCATACTGAGATGGGCTGTCTGTCCCCACCCTGAGCGTTGATGATTCATCATGCAGAGGCCGTAGAGAAGCCAGATTTAGACATAGCATATAATTTAACAGTTCCATTTCATGCCATGCTGTTCATATAAATAATGTATCATAATTTGCCGGTTTCTCGCAGTTATTTATCACGGAAAAGGGAGTGGTTTTGGGCGGTAAATCTCAGCAACCGGGTTCACACCATTCAATCCTAGTCTATATTTAGTAATCTGATAGACCCTGTGCTGAACTTGAATCATTTTGATCTGCACAAAAAGAGGGGAAAGTATAAAGTAATCTCTTGATTTTTTTCAGTTGTAAAATCATGGGTGGCCGTACTCCAATTCACAGCATAATTTACCAAGCTATATATCTTTCTTCAAAGGCACCGAGCAACATGAAGGCAGTGCTGCAAGCAGGCTGGCTGTTCACTGTAGCTATTGGCAACTTTATAATAATATGCCATTTAGCAGACGCTTTTATCCAAAGCGACTTACAGTCATGCGTGCATACATGTTTGTTTTTTTTGTGTATGGGTGGTCCCGGGGATCGAACCCACTACCTTGGCGTTACAAGCGCCGTGCTCTACCAGCTGAGCTACAGAGGACCACAACTTTATTGTCCTTATTGTGGCTGAGATTGCACAGATCGAATAACAGGTACAGTGCCACTAACCTACATTCTACAGATGACTCTCTCATAACACTCATAGCACTCCTGCAGCACGTGGTCTGTGTATAGGGCGAGCCAGCCCTGACTCTATGGGTGAAAGAGTTGAAGTCTTCAGTGTCCATTATTCAAACCTCAAGGGCCAGATCTGTTGAGGTAAATATGTGACGTGTCAAATCTTTGTGTTCTTTCCTCCTACAGTGGGCAGAGTTTGTCCTCTTCGCCTCCCTCCTAGTGGCAGTATGTGTCATCTTCTCCATCATGGCCTATTTCTATACCTACATGGACCCTGCAGAGATCGAGGCCCAGTTCAGGGACAAAGGCAGTAAGGAAGAATCAGACGAAGAGGAGCTTCAAATGCAGAAGAAAGATTCCATAGCCCATCACAATGAAGATGATGAAGCCAAACAAACCAAAATGTAAACAGCTAAACATTTCTCAATCCATCTCTGTGAATTTGCATAATAGTGTGTTTGATTGTGTGTGTGTGTGTGTGTGTGTGTGTGTGTGTGTGTGTGTGTGTGTGTGTGTGTGTCTGTCTGTCTGTCTGTCTGTCTGTCTGTCTGTCTGTCAGAGGGGATTAGAGAAAGAGAGAGGGGTGAGAGAAAGAGAGAGAAAATGTTTTTTGTACCTTTATTTTATCAGGGAGTGATATAGGAATCAGGTTAAAAGTAATGACTAAATGTTCCACCCTTAAATATAGTTGTGAAATGTTCTTGTTTTAAGTATGATTAGTACTTTCTTAGTAGTGACTAATTATTACACTCTGAAACTGTGTGAGATGTGTTAGAATCTACTACCTGGTAATGTGTGAGTGTAGGACCAGTAAAGATTATGACATTGTGCTACTATTTAGCAATGTGAGTAAGAGTTAGGCCAGACAACAAAGGACAAGGAGAACTGTCTACAGACAACTGAGAAACCAAGATAACTGAGGAATTTAGGGAGGAGAGAAACTGTTAGGCTTGGAAGGGTGTGTGTGTGTGTGTGTGTGTGTGTGTGTGTGTGTGTGTGTGTGTGTGTGTGTGTGTGTGTGAACTGATGGTCAGGAGAGCAATTATAAAGTGGAAAACTACAGCCTGCCTAAAGAGGGGAGGGATTTGTGTATGACGTATGAGTATCAAAGATGGACTCTGAAATTGTGATGTCAGAATTCTCAATTAATAAATATCTCTGACTATGCAGACTGGGACTCTGTCCGTTTCTTGATTTTAGGAGACGCACAGAGACACTGAAATAGTTTGTTAAATAATTCACATAACAGGGAGTCATACTGAGACCAAGGTCTCTTTTACAGATGATCCCTGAATTACATAAATTACAGAAAATACACACATAAAAAACAAACACATTCATCAGTAATAAGGTCCTCAATCAGCTTTCTGAATTGCCCTAGGCACCAAAACATCAAATAAAACATGTTTTTGAAGATTGTTCCACAAATAAGGTGCAAGAAAACTAAAAGCTGATTTACCTAACTCAGTAAAGACCAAAGGAATTTCCAGAGTTAGCCATCCCTGAGACCCGGTGTGATAACTCGTACTGTATGTCTAAAGTTTAGTAAAGATGTTAGGTACAGTGGGACTTTTTGTAAAAGGGCATTTTGCCCGTAATAAAGTGCAGTGTGGTATGATAAACTGCATCTAACGGCTTTAATGAAGTGGCAGCTGCGTTCATATAGATGATGTCATAGTCTAGGACCGATAGGAATGTCAACTGAATAATCAGATTTCTACTATTAGTGAGTGGCAGGACCTATTTCTATAGAAGAAGCCCATTTTCATTCTCAGCTTCTTAACTAACTCATCAATATACTTTTTAAAAGACAGCTTTTCATCTATCCAGATGCCCAGATATTTGTAAGCAGGGACATGATCAATATGGACAATATGAAATCATCAGAGTTATTTTTATGTGCTCTTGAGAACAACATATACAGTACTTCGTTTTATCTGCATTCAGTACTAATTTCAGGTCAATAAAGTGTTTCTGTAATACAATGAAGGCAGACTGTCATTCAGCAAGAGCATGGTCAACCATAGGGGCAATAGCATACACAACAGTATCATCAGCATTCAAGTGCAGGTTACCATTTTTTTTTACAGACAAGTCAATATTGTTAATGTAAACAGTAAAAGTACAGGACCCAGAATCGACCCCTTTGGGACACCTTTTGTAATGTCCAGGAAACCTGATTTAATACCCGTCAGTAGATACACATTGAGTTCTGTCAAGTCATTTTTTTACCAGTTACATGCAGCCTGGTCTAGGCCAATTGAGGAAAGCCTCTGAATTTGCAGTGAGTGATCAACCTTATTGAAAGCCTTCTGACAGGTCAATGAAGAGGGCAGCACAGTGTTGCCTTTTATCCATACAGTTATCCACATCATTTATAACTAGGGATGCAGCAGAGATAGTGCTGTGACCTGGTCTAAAAACCGACTGATGTACATTTAGAATACATTTCAAAGATAAAAAAGATCTTAGCTGAGAATTAATCAAGGATTCTAATATTTTAGCTAGGCAAGAAAGGCAAGGGTCACCACCTTTGTGAAAGGGGAGTACCTGGGCAGTCTTCCAAACCTTGGGGATAGTTCCAGATATAATCATCAGGTTAAAAATATGGGTTCATGATTGAGCTATCAGGGGGGCAGAGAGCTGCAGCAAAAATTGATCAAGCATATCAGCCCCAATGGATTTTTTATATATTTTTTTAACGTCAATCTTAAACAAGGCATCTAGTACATCACAGATAGTAAATTGTTGAATACCAATTGTATTATATTATAGTTTTGATATGTGCAGAATAACTGCTCCAAGTATGGTGCAGAGAGGGGAAAGGACATTGGTACTACATTTTAAATACAATTTTATTGGTCAACATACACATGTTTAGCAGATGTTATTAGGGGTGTAGCGAAATGCTTGTGAAGATAAGATACATTTAAGATACAGACAAGTCCAGACTTGTTTTAAGCTTTCAGCTGTGAAAGAAAACAACAAAACATTACAAATGGAACCATTTGGGGGTGGGGGGAACCCCTTTAGGTATAACATAAATATATACTTAATAAAAAATTATTATAATAATTTTAACTTTAACTTTTTTACACATTCAACCCGTTTTTGGGGTAGGCACAAAACTACCTTCATACTTCCATTCATTTTTTAAAACCGGTACCGGTTACCTTCAGACGAGTCCCGTGACACTTGTGGGGGTCGTAGAGCAAAATGGAGAAAAGTCTCCATTTTGATAGGCTCCCCTTTCGGACGCTACAGACGTTTTCGTGAGAAGACTGATTTTCAGGATGTCTCATGGTCTGACAAACACCACTCTTTCTTTGCCACCTTTCATCGCAGATGTAGAAGTGTTACATCTGCGGATGTGGTGGATTGAGATGCATCCAATGCAAATAAAACATATCTCTAGCTTAACCTGATGGATTTTGATGGAGATGTTCTTATTATGTTACTTAGATCGACTGTAAAACATCCCAATGTCCCTAGATCAGGATACATTTTTTATGCTTGTATATGTTGCATTCTTTTTATATCGAAGTTAGTGTGTATTAAAAAACACACATTTTTGCTTGTAATTGCTTATTTTAACTTGAAGTAGACACAATTTTTGTCATGGCTGTTATTTAGGCTCACTTACATTAATCGAATCTGTCTGTGGTTTATTGGGCATAATAACATCCTGTCCGTGTGATTGGCCTTAGACTATAACATAAATGTTGAAAGGAGGACTGGGTTTGCATAGGCCAATAAATTATAACAGTGATATTTAGGGACATAATTAGATAATATTGACATTTTGAACATCAAATGTACAGCTCCCCACCTGTTCAAGTTGGTACATTTCCATTTGTCCCATGTGTTGGACAGTGTGCTTGCTCCCAGAAGGCTCCAATGGGACTACTTCCTAAATAGGGCTACTGGCTTCTGATATTTGAAGAAAAATATACACCCGACACACTTGAAAACTAGATTTATAGCTAGATACAGTGTATACGTTTTACTGAATGGATACAAGGCTTACATGGTTGTCACTATTTACCACAGCCACAAAGTCCAAATTCATTCAAACACAAATTTGCTTTTTCGTCTTAATTTAAGGTTAGGCTTAAGGTTAGCAGTTAGGCATAAGGTTAGCAGTGTGGTTAAAGTTATGGTTATGTTTAAAATCAGATTTTAAGATTTAAAAAAAAAATAAGAGGGGTTTAGCCATAATTATGACTTTGTGGATGTGGTAACTAGTGACGACCGTCATCCCTTCGTTCTATGACGTTCTAGCACAGCTGTAGTTATTCTAGAGTGTGATTGGTTCCCCTTATGTGAGAATGACAGCAATCAAGATGGCGGACGGCAATAGAGAAAAGTGATGAGGACAGGACAACAAATGATACAACTAGCCTCAATTTAGACATTTAATATCTTATTATAAGTCCTCAATGTTTACCGGATATTTGCGAAAACGTTGAGAATTAATCAGACGTGTGCGGAAGGAGCGCAGAGCCTAGTTTGCGCTTCTGTTAAATATTTAGTTAGCTAGCTGCTATCTGCGGAAGAAGAGGCACGTTGCAGCTAAAAAAACAAGCATTGTTTTTGAGCTGATTACGTGGTAGACTTTTTGTAAATTCGGTCACCGATTATAATTCCTATAACCAAGGTAACGTTAGCTGGGCATAAACAGCGTTGCGTTCTCCGATTTGGGCTTACTAGATAGTGAACTCGATTAGCTAGCTTATTTAGCTAGCTAGCGTCAACTGAGTGAGGTTTTTTTTTTTTCACTGACGACATGGCTCACTCCCCGGTTCAGAGTGGCATTCCAGGGATGCAGGTAAGTTATTTCACCGTCCTGTCAGCTTATCAAGTGGTCGGTCTCCTTCAATTTATTTGCAGTACTTTTAAAGTTTAGCAAACACCCTAGCTGCTGTAACGTCGTTACTGACTCAAGGAAGTCGACTTTATTATTGATATTGTCACACCCACACTAGCTAGTTGTGTTAACTCGTTTTTTTACTAGCTAGTCAACTATGGGAAGACATAAGGTATTGGATAATTTGCACCTGAAAGAGGCCCACTGATGAGGCCAATCTATTTTGTCATATGTATGTTGAGCAGAGATGTGGCCATATTGGCCCCATGTGTTGTAGCATGTCTCTGCCAGTGCTGCTGTAGTCCCTTTTAGAATCCAGAGTGGAATACTTAAATATCCGTTGAATACTAATACGTTTTTCCCGAAAAATGTACCATACCGCCAACGTTTTTCCGCCTTTTCTTTGTATCTGATAGGTATTGCCGGTATCAAATTCGAATATTTTATTTCCGCCAAACCACCTAGTAATCATTTCAGTGAAGTTCAACCTACAGGCTTAAGTAAGAAACGTAGCAGCAATGCTGAGGCGGCATTTCACTTACACTAAGCTCTTAAACTCTTGATGGTTGCTAGGCAGCGCCCTGTTACCATCCTCCTGGCAGTTCTAAACTTTGCATAGCCCATAACTAAGCAGTGGTGTAAAAATAATTTAAAGTACTACTTAAGTCGTTTTTTGGGGTATCTGTACTTTACTATTGATATTTTTGACTACTTTTACTTAATTCCTAAAGAAAATAATGTACTTTTTACGCCATACATTTTCCCTGACACCCAAAAGTACTTGTTTACCCTTTGCAAAGAGCAAATAACACACCAGATTTCGCGGACTTCACTAAAGGGCGTTAACGTTAGAGTTGAACGTTCTTAACATGGCATTTGCGTTACATTTGGGCATATTATCCATTGTGTCACGTCACCCAACACCCTACCATGACACTTCATGTAACAGTATATGGCCAGTGTGCACTTTTGCACTTCATTGAGCTGGCAAGCTTCTATCTACTCAGCACTCACCGTAGAAGCAGTAACAGTTAGTTCACTTTCCTCTCCGAATGGTATTTGATGCTGGGTGATAGTGTCCAGTCTTGCTGTAGCGCGCCAAGACAAGATAGGCTTATAGCCATGTAAAGAGCGCCCTCTTCAGGACAAATAATGAAATTCAAAACAAAAAGTAATTCTATGAAGATCAGCTTTTTTTTTTGCATTTTCGCCTCATTTTATATCGGTCCTTTTCGGTGGATTAAACACCGATACAAAAACATTGGTAAAAGTTCAAATATCGGCCAATTTTTTAATTTTTTATGTCGTTCTACCGATAAATTGGTCGGGCTCTATTTTTTTAGGCCAACTTCTTTCAGATTGAATATCCATGGGGTAACCATGGTAACAGTCTGATGTATTAGGCCAGGGGTTCCCAACCTTTTTCACTCTGGCCCCACTTCCAGCATTGGGGAACATCCCGCGCCCCCCCGTGCACGCACACCTCTATTTCTATGGGCACATTTTGTCATAGGATGCAAAGAAAATGTTGCAGTTTTAAAGAACATTTCCTTGCAATTCTATACATTTTGCCATGTCTAATGTGTATTCATGTGATATTAGTGAAAAAAAAATTACAACAATCTCTATGGGCTACAAAACCTAAATAAAATTGTTTTAGCTGACATGGGCTAGTTGATCTGGACATTTCTGACAAGTTATCAATAACTCTCTAAGGTATACAATGACTAACACGACAAGAGGAACTGATGATGCACTACCCAATTTCGAAATTGCACCTTGTGCATTCTACTATTACAACTTTCAAGAGTAAGTTTAAAGCTGGACTGAGTTCCTTAAAAAAAAAAAAAACCTAGGGTGCGCCCCACAGTTTGGGAACCACTGTATTAGGCAACCATTCCGTTTATTTTTTTAATTTTTTTTACCCCTTTTTCTACCCAATTGGTAGTTACAGTGTTGTCCCATCGCTGCAACTCCCGTACGGACTCCAGGCCTGCCGCAGGAGTCGCTAGAGTGCGATGGGACAAGGACATCCCGGCTGGCCAAACCCTCCGGTAACCCGGACGACACTGGGCCAATTGTGCGCCGCCTCATTTTGTTACGTTACAGCCTTATTCTAAAATTAAATACATTGTTATTTTTTGCAAATGTATAAAAACAAAAAAAAGCGATTACAGCCTTGAGTCTACTTGGGTATGACACTACAAGCTTGGCACACCTGTATTTGGGGAGTTTCTCCCATTCTTCATTGCAGATCCTCTCAAGCTCAGGTAAGGTTGGATGGGAAGTGTCGCTGCACAGCTATTTTCAGGTCTCTCCAGAGATGTTCGATCAAGTTCAATTCCGGGCTCTGGCCACTCAAGGACATTCAGAGACTTGTCCTGAAGCTACTCCTGCGTTGTCTTGAATGTGTGCTTAGGGTCGTTGTGCTGTTTTAAGGTGAACCTTCGTCCCAGTCTGAGGTCCTGAGTGCTCTGGAGCAGGTTTTCATCAAGGATCTCTCTGTACTTTTCTCCGTTCATCTTTGCCTCGATCCTGACTAGTCTCCCAGTCCCTGCCGCTGAAAAACATCCCCACAGCATGATGCTGCCACCACCATGCTTCACCGTAGGGATGGTGCCAGGTTTCCTTCAGACGTGATGCTTGGCATTCAGGCTAAAGAGTTCAATCTTGGTTTCATCAGACCAGAGAATCTTGTTTCTCATGGTCTGAGAGTCCTTTAGGTGCCTTTTGGCAAACTCCAAGCAGGCTGTCATGTGCCTTTTACTGAGAAGAGGCTTCCGTCTCCCGAGTGCTGCAGAGATGGTTGTCCTTCTGGAAGGTTCTCCCAACTCCACAGAGGAACTCTGGAGCTCTGTCAGAGTGAGCATTGGGTTCTTGGTCACCTCCCTGACCAAGGCCCTTCGCCCCTGATTGCTCAGTTTGGCCAGGCGACCAGCTCTAGGAAGAGTCTTGGTGGTTCCAAACATCTTCCATTTAAGAATGATGGAGCCCACTGTGTTCTGCAATGCTGCAGAAATGTTTTGGTACCTTTCCCCAGATCTGTGCCTCAACAATATCCTGTCTCGGAGCTCTACGGACAATTCCTTCGACCTCATGGCATGGTTTTTGCTCTGACATCCACTGTCAACTGTGGGACCATATATAGACAGGTGTGTGCCTTTCCAAATCATGTCCAATCAATTGAATTGACCACAATCAAGTTGTAGAAACATATCAAGGATGATCAATGGAAACAGGATGCACTTGAGCTCAATTTCGAGTCTCATAGCAAAGGGTCTGAATACTTATGTAAATCAGGTATTTCTGTTATTTTTAATACATTTGCCAAAATGTCTAAACCTGTTTTCGCTTTGTCATTATGGGGTATTGTGTGTAAAATGTAATCCATTTTAGAATAAGGCTGTAACATTACAACAAGTGGAAAAAGTCAAGGGGTCTGAATACTTTCCGAATGCACTGTATCAGCTATTTAGTATGTTGCTAGAATAAGAAGTTACGGGCTAATTAAGAGTATGCTTGCCATTTTAGCCAAATCCTCAGCCATAAGTTGGATGCAAAACATTCCTTTAGTATTACACTAATGCACATTACGTTTTTGCGTTTTTCTCAGAGGCCATGCATTCTAAGGAGGACTCAAAGGATAAATGAATAAACACATTTTAATCAATAAGTAAACATAATAGACAAAACCCCAACATGGCCGATTCCTCATGAAAATTAGAACAAAAAGAGACCATTATTTTGGGGATTTTCACTAAATGTTATCCATAGAAGGGTCCTTTAGAGGAAGGATTGTTGACATATATTTGACATTTGTATCTTAACTTCCAAACTAGCAGAAATCCCACTCTGGAACTTTGATAGCCCCTAGAGTATATTATGTTCAACAATATATTGACAAATTTGCCAAATCAAAAATGGTATTTTCTATATTAATGTTTATATTTTTCAATCTTCATGAATTAATGTAAGCAAATTATTCAAATGTAAGTACTACTCATATTACAGAGCAAGTGGTAAAGCTTCATATGACACCAGTTTTTGCTTCGTAGCGCTTACAGATTAAACATTATGGTGTCTTAAAGTAGGCCTGGGTAAGGCCAAAAGGTCACAAATGCTCCAACTTCAATGAATTATTTCTCAATTACGCTTTAATGTCATATATACAAATGTCAAATATGTCAACAATCCTCCAAAGGATCCTTCTATTGATTACATTTTTGAAAGTCCCCAATATCATGGTTATGTTCTAGTTTCGTGAGGACTCACCCACATGTTATTGAGGTGTCTGCTATTTTTTAGGCAGTGGAAAGTAAATCTTTACTCTTTAACAAGAAAGCTGCCAGCACATTACTTATCTCGTAAAAATGAGGTCACTTGGTCTTTCCCCATTCAGACAATGGGAATATGACTGACATTCTCATGAGGCGCTGTGGCATATCCTTGAGTAGGGCTGTGACAGTCATGGAAATTTGGATGACTGTTATTGGTCAGCCAAATGACCGTTGTCACTGTTACAAGTTTTTATTTAATTTTACATTTTTAAAAGAGGCACATTTTCTCTTCTCCTCCGCTCCTGACTGCATGTGCTGCTGCTGCAGGCAGGAGGGCGTTGTCTGGTAAACCGAAGACTTGTTTGCTTGTTTAAGCAAGGACCGAATGTTTAATCATATAAAGAGTCCATGTAACCGCGGAAACAAACTCAATTGCTGAAATGCCCGGCTGTCCAGTCTTCAGTCACCAGTTTGTTCCACCCACAAAAAAAAAAAAAATTGGTTGACAGTTATTTAATTTTCATGACGGTCTTCGTCCATAATCGTCGATTACATGATTATACAGTAATTGTGCTAGCCCTAGCCTTTAGCTGCATGAATAGAGCCATGTTTCACCTCCATACTGTCCTCGCCTTAATAGTGGCAACCTGGTTCATGCTGTGTCCAACATGGGCTTGGACAGGGGAGAGCAGGCCCAGAGGGCGATATGGAATGTGTATATGGGGCGGTGGGAGCCGATGAGCCTCAGGGTGCGGACTGACTGCAGTGGACCACACAATCGGTGCAGCTGGTAGAGGATCAAACGCATGCTTTTAGAGGGAGGTTTCAGGCAGCTTTAGCAGTTGTGATAAATCTGCTGACTGTGGGAACAGCAAGTGTTTTCCCAGCATGTGGAATCTGTAGTCACAGTGCCCAGTGTTGTTTTTCCCATTGTGACCACCAAAGTCAGACTCAACAGGATGATTTCACCTGGATGACCACTCTGCTGTTGTGACAGGCTTTTGTTTGCCTCACTTTATTGTTCTTCACCCCCCCTTTCACAGTCTCTTGACATAAGGCTCTCTTGGAAACTTAAATTAATGAGTCCTCTCTCTCCCTTTTTTTGTGGAGCAGATTTACAACATTCTCTAGGGGATGTCTTGAGAGCAATGGCTGCACAGGCATTGTTTATCTGGTAAATTAAACTATCATTCTGGTGCAAGCAAATCAAGTCACTCTCTCTCTCTCTCTCCAGAATGTCCCTTAATGGGTATCAAAATGCGATTACTGTGTAGGATATGAAATCTTTATGCCTCTATTGAAATTAATTGGACATCGTTCGCCGATTTTAAAGCGGAATGTATTGTGACTGGAAAATGTTCCTTCACACTATTTTTGTCATGCATGTTATGTTATGCTGCAACAAAAGTGCTTATGCTTCAGACAGTTAATCGTTGCACTGCAGGAAGTATAAAGATGTTATTGGTTCCTGCTTTGGGACTACAAAGCTGTGACCCCCCCCCCCCCCCCCGCACCAGATTAATTTGTATTATTATAGTATTTCATGATCTGCCTAATGAAGCATGAAGAACTAAACGCAGGCCTAATACATTTACTTTCTATTCATTTAGTAGCAGAGTATGTTGTGCAAAGCCTATAGAGCTATTATGTAGCCTTCGTTCACACGCTACAGGTTCATAAATGCAATGCATAGCTTTAGAACCTTGTATAAAATCATTATCTTGAAGAGCGAGGCACCTTTGCAACCCACTAGTGCCAGACAGGCATACTTTGCATTGAATAGTCAGCCTAGGTAATATTTAGTAACACTTTACTTTAGCCCCCTCTGTCATAAAGCCAAATGTCATAGAATAAATAGACATGAACACACTAGGCTAATTGAAACGTACCACGGCGTGCTCCTCTGCAGTGTCAATGTTTATGCAAAATGTTGTTTCACATCTACATTCTGCATCTTGCCATTTGCTCTAAAAGGCCTAGCTTGTTTGAAATGCACCATACACATTTTGTTGACCTTTATAACCCAGATATGAAACCTTTTAGGTAGGGACCTCACGATATGATACTTATCATGATACTTCAGTGCCGATGCGATTCTCACTATTCTATATGCATTGCGATTCGATACTGTGATTTTAATTGCGATTCGACGTTCCAAATATATTGCTCACCAAATGTCTGCAGCGGGACAAGAGGGAGCCATGAGAAAACACGTTTTGATCAGTCATGGAAATAAGTGCTGAAAACAAATTGGCTCCATATTTAAAAATACATTTAGGTGCTGGTACAGCCAACTAGCGCAAAAATAATATTGCAATATTGTCAAAACTATACGATATATTGGCAAAAGTAATATCCCAATATGTAATATTGTTTTTCCACAACACCACTTTTAGGCCTATTATTTAAACCCAAACAGGCTACAACCTATGCTAAATATCTTGATTGCATGGTCCTTATTTACCTGTAGTTGAATCATGCCTGCTCTGCTGTTTTTACTCCAACCCACTTTGTTTCTCTCCTTCCCTCAGAACTTTAAAGCTGATCCAGAGGAGCTGTTCACCAAGCTGGAGAGGATAGGGAAAGGCTCTTTTGGAGAGGTGTTCAAAGGCATTGACAATCGGACTCAGAAAGTAGTGGCCATTAAGATAATTGACCTTGAGGAGGCAGAGGATGAAATCGAAGACATCCAACAGGAAATAACAGTCCTTAGCCAGTGTGACAGTCCCTTTGTTACCAAGTATTATGGATCATATCTGAAGGTAAGTTGACTAAACCAAATGTTATCTCAGAATGCTGTGAGAAAGGATTTTGGCTAGTCAATCCACATATTGTCCTTATTTTTTGTATTATTTTTTTACTCAAAGTGATGTTCTTTTTCTACACACATTTAAGGTGCTGTGCTCTATTTGTGTTGCAGATTTGGTGTAGTTGTTTTAGGTATAGTTGTGTCAGTGGTGGTATGTTTAACAATTGCAGACAACTGTATGTGGGTCAATAAATCATTCATACGGGCAATGGGACAAGGCTCCCATGAATTGTGCCTGAGCGTTAGGCCTATGGCATGGGTTGGCACTAGTGCTGGCGAACAGAACACACAGGCATACATCGCACTTCACTTCACATTGGCCTATATTACCTACAGTGGGGAAAAAAAGTATTTAGTCAGCCACCAATTGTGCAAGTTCTCCCACTTAAAAAGATGAGAGAGGCCTGTAATTTTCATCATAGGTACACGTCAACTATGACAGACAAAATGAGAAAAGAAATTCCAGAAAATCACATTGTAGGATTTTTAATGAATTTATTTGCAAATTATGGTGGAAAATAAGTATTTGGTCAATAACAAAAGTTTCTCAATACTTTGTTATATACCCTTTGTTGGCAATGACACAGGTCAAATGTTTTCTGTAAGTCTTCACAAGGTTTTCACACACTGTTGCTGGTATTTTGGCCCATTCCTCCATGCAGATCTCCTCTAGAGCAGTGATGTTTTGGGGCTGTCGCTGGGCAACACGGATTTTCAACTCCCTCCAAAGATTTTCTATGGGGTTGAGATCTGGAGACTGGCTAGGCCACTCCAGGACCTTGAAATGCTTCTTACGAAGCCACTCCTTCGTTGCCCGGGCGGTGTGTTTGGGATCATTGTCATGCTGAAAGACCCAGCCACGTTTCATCTTCAATGCCCTTGCTGATGGAAGGAAGTTTTCACTCAAAATCTTACGATACATGGCCCCATTCATTCTTTCCTTTACACGGATCAGTCGTCCTGGTCCCTTTGCAGAAAAACAGCCCCAAAGCATGATGTTTCCACCCCCATGCTTCACAGTAGGTATGGTGTTCTTTGGATGCAACTCAGCATTCTTTGTACTCCAAACACGACGAGTTGAGTTTTTACCAAAAAGTTATATTTTGGTTTCATCTGACCATATGACATTCTCCCAAACCTCTTCTGGATCATCCAAATGCACTCTAGCAAACTTCAGACGGGCCTGGACATGTACTGGCTTAAGCAGGGGGACACAGCAGGATTTGAGTCCCTGGCGGCGTAGTGTGTTACTGATGGTAGGCTTTGTTACTTTGGTCCCAGCTCTCTGCAGGTCATTCACTAGGTCCCCCCGTGTGGTTCTGGGATTTTTGCTCACCGTTCTTGTGATCATTTTGAACCCACGGGTGAGATCTTGCGTGGAGCCCCAGATCGAGGGAGATTATCAGTGGTGTTGTATGTCTTCCATTTCCTAATAATTGCTCCCACAGTTGATTTCTTCAAACCAAGCTGCTTACCTATTGCAGATTCAGTCTTCCCAGCCTGGTGCAGGTCTACAATTTTGTTTCTGGTGTCCTTTGACAGCTCTTTGGTCTTGGCCATAGTGCAGTTTGGAGTGTGACTGTTTGAGGTTGTGGACAGGTGTATTTTATACTGATAACAAGTTCAAACAGGTGCCATTAATACAGGTAACGAGGGGAGGACAGAGGAGCCTCTTAAAGAAGAAGTTACAGGTCTGTGAGAGCCAGAAATCTTGCTTGTTTGTAGGTGACCAAATACTTATTTTCCACCATAATTTGCAAATAAATTCATTGAAAATCCTACAATGTGATTTTCTGGAGAAAAAAATTCTCAATTTGTCTGTCATAGTTGACGTGTACCTATGATGAAAATTACAGGCATCTCTCATCTTTTTAAGTGGGAGAACTTGCACAATTGGTGGCTGACTAAATACTTTTTTTCCCCACTGTACAATGTATGTCATGCAAGGACAGGAACACTGTGAAAAACCAAGAGACATTGAGTATCCTGTGTTGACTTGATCGTGAGAGATTGCATCATTTCCCGGCCTTGGTTGCTGTCAACCATAAGTTTGAAATGAATGTGGAGTAGACAGAGTGCTAGTAGACCTACATGTGATGGGGCTTAAGTGGCTCTCACAGAGCATGTAGTGTGTTAGTGGTTTACTTAAGGCCAGTGGGGAGAGTGCCAGTGGGCTGTCTGCTCCAGTTGTGCTGATGGATGGATGGATGAGGAGGGAGGGAGGCTAGCGATGCGTGCGTGACTAACAGTGGGGCAGGCAGCAGGTGCTACTCCAGCCCTCGGAGCGCTGGATCATATGTCTCAGACCCCAACATCTGCTCGGAGAGAGAGAGAGAGAGCAGCCTGACAGCCTTCCAGCTCTGCTCTGGAGAAGCCAGCCAGCTAGCAACAGCCGGGCTCATTCTGCCCCCTGTTCAGACAGACAATTAGCCTGTAGCCTATAGCACTATCAGGCCTTCCAAGGCCAAGTCTAGATAAATGCATGCACATACTGATGTTATGCAGTCTCTGAAAAGGTAGGCAAATCATATAGAACAAGGGTGTCAAACATACGGCCCGGCCCGCGAGGGGATCCAATCCGGCCCGCGGGTGGTTTGAGTTGTTACTTTAAAATGACTAAAACCAAATCGAAACTGTGTGGAAATGATAATGGACCTACGTGTCCAGCTCGCTAATAATCACCACATTTTGACGGCTAGGAAGTATAACCACACGGCGTACATCATTACGCGTCTACAAGGGGGAAATCACTTCCGCAGCATTCACAGCCATTTAGAAACAAAAATGGCCACTCGGGCAGAATGGCCTTAATGACATAGAACTTATATTATAAATAAACCATATTGCAACCTGTCAACAGAGGTTTCAATTTGGTTCATTTATATATTATTCAGATATTTTCCCCCTGACTTCCAACCTTTGGTATAGAAGCTTTCTTCTGCAGAGTCGGTCATGTACAGTGAGGGGAAAAAAGTATTTGATCCCCTGCTGATTTTGTACGTTTGCCCACTGACAAAGAAATGATCAGTCTATAATTTTAATGCTAGGTTTATTTGAACAGTGAGAGACAGAATAACAACAACAAAAATCCAGAAAAAAACGCATGTAAAAAATGTTATAAATTGATTTGCATTTTAATGAGGGAAATAAGTATTTAACCCCCTCTCAATCAGAAAGATTTCTGGCTCCCAGGTGTCTTTTATACAGGTAAGGAGCTGAGATTAGGAGCACACTCTTAAAGGGAGTGCTCCTAATCTCAGTTTGTTACCTGTATAAAAGACACCTGTCCACAGAAGCAATCAATCAGATTCCAAACTCTCCACCATGGCCAAGACCAAAGAGCTCTCCAAGGATGTCAGGGACAAGATTGTAGACCTACACAAGGCTGGAATGGGCTACAAGACCATCGCCAAGTAGCTTGGTGAGAAGGTGACAACAGTTGGTGCGATTATTCGCAAATGGAAGAAACACAAAATAACTGTCAATCTCCCTCGGCCTGGGGCTCCATGCAAGATCTCACCTCGTGGAATTGCAATGATCATGAGAACGGTGAGGAATCAGCCCAGAACTACACGGGAGGATCTTGTCAATGATCTCAAGGCAGCTGGGACCATAGTCACCAAGAAAACAATTGGTAACACACTACGCCGTGAAGGACTGAAATCCTGCAGCGCCCGCAAGGTCCCCCTGCTCAAGAAAGCACATATACATGCCCGTCTGAAGTTTGCCAATGAACATCTGAATGATTCAGAGGAGAACTGGGTGAAAGTGTTGTGGTCAGATGAGACCAAAATCGAGCTCTTTGGTATCAACTCAACTCGCCGTGTTTGGAGGAGGAGGAATGCTGCCTATGACCCCAAGAACACCATCCCCGCCGTCAAACATGGAGGTGGAAACATTATGCTTTGGGGGTGTTTTTCTGCTAAGGGGACAGGACATCTTCACCGCATCAAAGGGACGATGGACGGGGCCATGTACCGTCAAATCTTGGGTGAGAACCTCCTTCCCTCAGCCAGGGCATTGAAAATGGGTCGTGGATGGGTATTCCAGCATGACAATGACCCAAAACACACCGCCAAGGCAACAAAGGAGTGGCTCAAGAAGAAGCACATTAAGGTCCTTGAGTGGCCTAGCCAGTCTCCAGACCTTAATCCCATAGAAAATCTGTGGAGGGAGCTGAAGGTTCGAGTTGCCAAACGTCAGCCTCAAAACCTTAATGACTTGGAGAAGATCTGCAAAGAGGAGTGGAACAAAATCCCTCCTGAGATGTGTGCAAACCTGGTGGCCAACTACAAGAAACGTCTGACCTCTGTGATTGCCAGCAAGGGTTTTGCCACCAAGTACTAAGTAATGTTTTGCAGAGGGGTCAAATACTTATTTCCCTCATTAAAATGCAAATCAATTTATAACATTTTTGACATGCGTTTTTCTGGATTTTTTTGTTGTTATTCTGTCTCTCACTGTTCAAATAAACGTACCATTAAAATTATAGACTGATCATGTCTTTGTCAGTGGGCAAACGTACAAAATCAGCAGGGGATCAAATACTTTTTTCTTTCACTGTAGTATTTATGTTTGTGCCAGATCATGGCTCTTCCTCATGACCCTTATATGAGTGCATAGGCTACTTCCTAATCTCTTGGGTATTGTTAGCTGTGAGGGCCTCATCTTGGGCCAGTGCATGGCTGTGTGGGTCTAGTATTGTGTAAGGATCAGCCACCAGCATCTGAAGCATGCACTCTTCCACGTTGCTACTAGTGAGAAGACAATTCTCAAGGCGATATGCTCTGATGGAGGCTTATGTCTGCTCTCACCATAGGCTTGCTCCCTCCCTAAGACGAAGTTGGGGGGGCGGTGGGACTACGGTTCTTCTCCCATGTGATTGGCTCAGTGCAGGGCCCATTACTTCACATACTGTTGTGTTATGGTTTACAAATGAAATGCTCTGTCTGCTCCCATACTGAGGATGCATGCTGGTTAGTTAGTATGTCAAGCTGATGCACTCTCAACACAGGCTGCATCTCAGACTGAAGAGGTTCAAGCCAGTGAGACTGACTGATTTATGGGTCATAAAGAGTCTGAATGGTCTTATGTGTTCCGACGTATAGGCCGACACACTGGATTGGTATACCTAGAAACTCCCAGTTAGTATTTATTTGACCTAAGGCTAGCCTCCTATAGAAATGTTGTATTATGCTCTCTCTATCTCAAGGTTATCAAGTCTGCTATAATAATGTGTAGACCTAAACTGTCCTATAGGACCAGGCCTCAGGCCACTACACCTAATGAAAGCAAAGGGGCTTCAGCAGTACTTAATTTCCTCCTCCAAAGCACATTGTTAATGTGCTGCATTATTGAACTGCACTTGGTCCAGGCATCACTAGGCTGTTATGGCTTCATACCTTAAATTACCTAATTGTCCATTATCTAATATGATCCCTGATGCAGCCAGATGTGCTGTGATTGGCTCCCCTAGGCTCACTGGGGGAAGGGATTGCTGAAGTGCTTAGTTTAAGCTGCCTTTTAATATGTATGAAAATGGTTTAACTTTTATGAAAGCGAAGGGAGGAGATTATTAGCATTAAATGAGAGGTTAGCGCTGTCTTGATTTTGAGATTTAATTTCCCCTTCCACTGTATTCCAGTATGATGCTAAATTATAACTGTACAGGTTGATCTGTTTTAATGGAGACTCCGCATGATTATAAAAGCATTCTCTCATTTCAGGATGCAAAATTATGGATTATTATGGAATATTTAGGAGGAGGATCAGCTCTGGATTTGGTAAGTTTCACTAAGATTGAGGTGATGTAGGCCTACACAATCCAAAGGCTATAATCACATTTCAGTCACGGTGCATGCAAGTAGCCTAACCAAATATTGGTTCAGTAAGACCCTCGACACAAGCCTTCTTGTTGTTTCAGTTGGAGCCGGGTGCCTTGGACGAAACCCAGATAGCCACAATTCTCAGAGAGATCCTGAAGGGGCTTGAGTACCTGCACTCTGAAAAGAAAATCCACAGAGATATTAAAGGTACTGTTCAGAGCACTGTTTGTTTCATCCCTTTAGCAACATAGTATTGTCTATGTTTAGATGTATGGCCAACTGTTGCAACATGAATAGCCAACTGTCTTATTTAACTGGCCAACATGGTAAATATCCTAGCCTGTACTGTTTGTGTTGTTTCCCCCAGCCGCCAATGTGTTGCTGTCGGAGCAAGGAGACGTGAAGCTGGCAGACTTTGGAGTGGCGGGGCAGTTAACGGACACTCAGATAAAGAGGAACACGTTCGTGGGCACTCCGTTCTGGATGGCACCTGAAGTCATAAAACAGTCTGCGTACGACTCAAAGGTCTGAAATGCCACAAGCTCTCTCTCAGGTTCAAGGTTAAGATGACACGTCAGTTCATAGGTTCATCCACGTGTTACAATGGGTCATGGGAAATGTCAACAAAATGTTGAACGCTAACTGTGTTTTCCATAGTTGTCCAATGAAGATTATTTTTCCTGCCACTGAATTGCACCGTTGTGCTGTGTAAAGTAGAGGCATTGCAGAAGTAGCTTCAGCTCTGTGACCTGCTTTGATCACACTAGAAGCCAGTGCACAGCACTGCACACAGATGGAAATATCACCAGACACATTAGGAACGGCCACAACATGCGGCAAACCAGAAACATTGTCTCGTCCTGGGTTCCTTAAATGGACTATTACAGCCTCAGTTGATATAGGCCTACTAAATCGGGCCTTCCTAGTGGGTGTGAATGTTGTTACTAGCTGGTGCGCTAATGTGTGAATATAAAATGGAACCCTCTAGTCAAGTTTCAAGAAATGTTATTTATCACTTTCATCCTGTGAATCATGCCATCTGTATATCAGTTGCATCACCAAACCGGCCCTGTTGGTATTTCCTATGATGTTTGAAGTGAGTAGTGGGAGTGTGACGAATTTGTTCACAAATTTTATTGTTGTGTCTCAGGCGGATATCTGGTCGCTAGGCATAACGGCCATAGAGCTAGCCAAAGGAGAGCCGCCCCACTCAGAGCTCCACCCTATGAAGGTCTTATTCCTCATCCCAAAGAACAACCCGCCCACCCTGGAAGGAAACTACTGCAAACCCCTCAAAGAATTCATAGAAGCCTGTTTGAACAAAGAGCCCAGCTTTGTAAGTGGTGTTTGGGGAGAAATCGAGCTCAAATTGCCATTCTGATAATTGTCTTCTTTCTAGAAAGTCAACCCTCTCTGTACATTATACAAAGATGCTAATGTTGAGCACATCCAATATTTACACTTGCTTGACGCTCTGCGCCTCCTCAGAGGCCAACTGCCAAAGAGCTGCTGAAACACAAGCTGATCATCCGGCATGCCAAGAAGACATCCTACCTTTCAGAGCTGGTGGACAAGTACAAGAGGTGGAAAGCAGAGCAGTCTCGGGAGGAATCCAGCGAAGATGAGTCGGACTCGTAAGTCATTCTCATTTGGTCCCTTCGTCTGTCCTCTAGTGTTATTCAGCAGATCGTGGCCACTCTTTTCGCTGCAATTCACACAGAAGGGGTGGTTTACCAGATTGTGTTTTGGAACAGTTCACTGTAATGCTCTTTTAAAGGTGCATGCTTCAGACTGTGTCTCCATGTCTAAAGGTTGTCTCAATGTCTTCTCAGGGAGCAGGATGGTCAGGCGTCTGGAGGGAACGACTCTGGGAACGATGACTGGATCTTCAACACCATCAGGGAGAAGGACCCCAAGAAGTTCCTGAATGGAGCCGCCCAGCCTGATGAGCTGGAGAGGAACAAGGTAAGATGGCACCTGGTTGAAATAGCAATATAACAGCAGTCATCAGTCACATGAAAGGGGATTCAAGAGAGAAATGCAACTTAGTTTGGGAGTTTGTTTCTCATGGTTATTCTCACGCCAAATGCTGATTTAAGCATAGTGTATATTCATACCTCAAGCTTTCTCGTTTCAGTTTTTTATATACATCATAATTTAACCAAACAGAGGAGTTCAGGAAGTGGTTTCTGGGCGTTTTCAATCTCATGTGGTGTCTCTGTTTAGAATGCTGACCTTTTACTCTTCTGTTTTTTTTTAGCTCTTTCTCTGAGCCATCGTTGTAGAATGAGTGATTATACTTCCTTTTTCAGGTGCGAGAAAGTCCAAAGAGGCCTTTGTCACAGAGCTTGTCCACTATAATTTCCCCTTTGTTTTCTGAGGTAAGAATGTATTTATGCAAATGTTAGCTTTTTATCTTCGGACCTCTTATGATGTTCCTATTTCTATTTTTATATTTTCACTGAAAGGTATAACCGAGAATCTCAATCAAGTTAAATTATTCAGTGTCATACTGTTCTAAGATCTGGGTGTTGAAGCTATTGAGGCTACAGCTGCGCACATGCATAGAGCCCCACCGTGGAGGCGTCATAATATCCATAAAACCTAGCAGTCAAACGAGGACATGGTTCCAATCGTTTTTCCACCATTCATTTTTCCCATAGGGGATTTTAGAAACACTTAAAATAAGGGCTGTGTTATGTGTAGGCTTACCCTGGCGTGACGTTTTGATAACCATGTAAATCTCTCTAGGACAAGCTGACTGAACCATTTCCCTGTTTGACCGCTAGGTCTTATGGGTATTATGACTCATACTGTGGTACTCTATTAGGATTATCCAGTAAACCATGTGTCAAACCCAAGTGTCTTAGGGTTTTCACTCCTCCCTTGTACTTGATTGATGAAGTAAGGGTGGTCCTCTGTAGCTCTATTGGTAGAGCATGGCGCTTGTAACGCCAGGGTAGTGGGTTCGATCCCCGGGACCACCCATACGTAAAAAAAATGTATGCACACATGACTGTAAGTCGCTTTGGATAAAAGCGTCTGCTAAATGGCATATATTATTATTATTATTATTATTATTATTATTATAATTAGTAAAGAACTCCCCACACCTGCTTGTCTAGGTCTTAATTGAAAAAACAAAAACCAGCAGACACTAGGCCCTCCATGGAATGAGTTTGACATCCCTGCAGTAAACGGTCTCTCCTTCCCTTGCAGTTAAAAGAGAAGCAGGTTGAGGCGACCAATGGCAAGCCAGAGGCTGTAGATGAGTTGAGGGAGGCCATTTTCCTGGCAGAAGAGTCATATCCTGGCATCTCTGACTCCCTGGTGTCTGAACTAGTGCAGAGACTACAGAGGTAATGGCAATACCATCATTGCCTCCATGATTTGATTAGGTTATAGCTTCAAGGTTTCTGCTCATACATTTTCATTTTATTCCAACATTAGGGTGCAGACCTGTTGTTTCTCACACCTCCATCGCAAGCTACATCTTCACATTTTTAATTCCTCCTTTGCTTCTGCAGGTTTTCTCTACCCAGGGCCGCCTCCTTTCAGTGAGACCTGCTGTGTCCAGCAACCCTCCACCTCCCACCCATAGCAGCAGTCAGTCCATGGCCTCTGACATCAACAGCCAAGATGAAGTCTCCCAGGAAGTTCTCATCACTCATTCACCTAAAGCAAAACCTCGACCCACTTTCTCTCTACTTGTCCACGCCAACATATTGTCACATTGGGGACAGTCAGTGGCAAGTTGGTCATCTGCCACCTTGACTTCCACCTGCTGTAAGACATCGTAATCTCAATACCTCCAACATGAGTGCAGTTTATTTTAGGGGGGGTGGGGATTTCATTCACAATTCTTCTAAAAGAACCATTGATTCAAAAAGGTTGGTGTGGCTTATTCCGAAATGTCTACTATCTGCAGCCTTTGGGGGAGTATCTAACTTTCTTTAGTGTGTGTGGTTGTGTGCGAGTCAGTGTGTGCGAGCGTATGTGAGCATCTCCCTTGATATCCTGTGAAATGTGCGGTGGAGATTGATGCTTTGGAGATTGAAGCATTCGTTTGAAAACTCAGGTGTCCTGCTTTAAGTGGATGGGGTCCTCTGGGAGATGGAGAGAGCTCTGTTGGGTGGCTGTACAAACTTGTAAATAGGCACATTTTTACAGATATTGAGAACTAATGGCGTGTACGCAAAGGAATCACTGTGTACAAATGGCCAAATGCTTCTGTTAGAAAAGGTAAATATTTAAAGAGACATACATGGCCATAACTGAGATTGCCTTGCCTTTATTACTTGTTATTTTGTATTGCAATCTTGGATTCCCTCTTGTTTTAATACATTTTTCAAGGACATTCATCCATTCAATGGCTGCCCTCTGTCCTGTTTTTATGTTGATTGACACTTTGGGTACCTATGTTACTTAAATGCTCTTTGACCTTTGATTTCATACTATGTTATGGCTGTCATTGCGATGCAGTGGAGACCATAGAAACAAAACCTTTCCAGCTGGACCACATCTAATCCTCTCCAGTCTACACACTGGATGCTATGTTCTATGTTCCCAGCTCCCACGTGGTTTTATGACGAGATGGTTGTTGGATTGTTTCTCTGTCCATCACCTGTGTTAGATGAGTGCTTTATTTAGTTCTATGGAAGGTTCACCCTCCCTCTCCTTTTAACATAGCAGTAACTTCAAACTACTTAATCCTCAACAGACACATGTCTTCCTGGGAACTGCAGTGGTACAATCTATTCGCTCAGTGTACCAACAGCTTGAATTGCACTTAGAAAATAAATGCCTTTTATTGTAAACAAAGTAGCCATACGACAGTAGCATGAGAATTCTTGTATAGGTATGTTTCATGCTACATAAGAACTGTCCACCTGAAGCGGCACAGCTTGGAGAACAGTATAACCGATATGATTATCTCCTGTAAATTGGATTTACACACAAGGTTTAGTTGAAACGGATTGCAGAAGTGCATTTAGTATATTCATACTAGTTGACGTCGCTGCTTATAGATCTAAAAAGTAGCAGAAAGCCAGCAGCCATTAGGAAACATACCGCACTTCCCTGCTGCTACTGACTCAGTTTAGTTTTAAATGAATGTGCATGAAAAATAACTCCTGTGAATTGACCCGCACAGTATGCGTTGTAGCATACTACAGGACTCGGAACATGATGTCCTGGACCTTGAGTGTTAAAAGCCTTAGCATCTTTGCCAAGAGTGGAGTGCAGAGTCACAGCTTTTAAAATATTTGAGCCAAGCGGTTTCTTTTTTTTTGTCGATTTTGGCCTTTTTGTAATTTGTAGAAATCCTGCCGCTATCAAGATACACTACCAGTCAAAAGTTTTAGAACCCCCTACTCATTCAAGGGTTTTTCTTTATTTTTACTATTTTCTACATTGTACAATAATAGTGAAGACATCAAAACTATGAAATAACACATATGGAATCATGTAGGAACCAAAAAAGTGTTAAACAAATCAAAATATATTTTATATTTGAGATTCTTCAAATAGCCACCCTTTGCCTTGATGACAGCTTTGCATTCTCTCAACCAGCTTCACCTGGAATGCTTTTCCAACAGTTTTGAAGGAGTTCCCACATATGCTGAGCACTTGTTGGCTGCTTGTCCTTCACTCTGCGGTCCGACTCATCCCAAACCATCTCAATTTGGTTGAGGTCGGGGGATTGTGGAGGCCAGGTCATCTGATGCAGCACTCCATCACTCTCCTTCTTGGTCAAATAGCCCTTACACAGCCTGGAGGTGTGTTGGGTGATTGTCCTGTTGAAAAACAAATGATAGTCCCACTAAGCCCAAGCCAGATGGGATGGCGTATCACTGCAGAATGCTGTGGTAGCCATGCTGGTTAAGTGTGCCTTGAATTCTAAATAAATCACAGACAGTGTCACCAGCAAAGCACCATAACACCTCCTCCTCCATGCTTTACGCTGGGAAATACACATGCAGAGATCATCCATTCACCCACACCACATCTCACGAAGACATGGCGGTTGGAACCAAAAATCTCAAATTTGGACTCCAGTCCAACGGACAGATTTCCACCGGTCTAATGTCCATTGCTAGTGTTTCTTGGCCCAAGCAACTCTCTTATTATTATTATTAGTAGTGGTTTCTTTGCAGCAATTCGACCATGAAGGCCTGATTCACAGTCTCCTCTGAACAGTTGATGTTGAGATGTGTCTGTTACTGGAACTCTGTGAAGCATTTATTTGGGCTGCAATTTCTGAGGCTGGTAACTCTAATGAACTTATCCCCTGCAGCAGAGGTAACTCTGGGTCTTCCATTCCTGTGGCGGTCCTCATGAGAGCCAGTTTCATCATAGTGCTTGATGGTTTTTGCGACTGCACTTAGACTTTCAAAGTTCTTGACATTTTCCGTATTGACTGACCTTCATGTCTTAAAGTAATGATGGACTGTTTCTATTTGCTTATTTGAGCTGTTCTTGCCATAATATGGACTTAGCCCTATTTGGTAAAAGACCATCTTCTGTATACCCCCCTACCTTGTCACAACACAACTGATTGGCTCAAACGCATTAAGAAGGAAATAAATTCTACAAATTAACTTTTAAGAAGGCACACCTGTTAATACAAATGTATTCCAGGTGACTACCCCATGAAGCTGGTTGAGAGAATGCCAAGAGTGTGCAAAGCTGTCATCAAAGCAAAGGGTGGCTATTTGAAGAATCTCAAATATAAAATATATTTTGATTTGTTTAACACTTTTTTGGTTACTACATGATGTGTTATTTCATAGTTTTGATGTCTTCACTATTATTCTACAATGTAGAAAATTGTAAAAATAAAGAAAAAACATTGAGTGAGTAGGTGTTCTAAGACTTTTGCCCGGTAGTGTACAGTCGTGGTCAAAAGTTTTGAGAATGACACAAATATTAATTTTCACAGTCTGCTGCCTCAGTTTTTAAGATTGCAATTTGCATATACTCCATAATGTTATGAAGAGTGATCAGATGAATTGCAATTAATTGCAAAGTCCCTCTTTGCCATGAAAATTAACTTAATCCCCCAAAAACATTTCCACTGCATTTCAGCCCTGCCACAAAAGGACCAGCTCATGTCAGTGATTCTCTCGTTAACACAGGTGAGAGTGTTGACGAGGACAAGGCTGGAGATCACTCTGTCATGCTGATTGAGTTAGAATGACAGACTGGAAGCTTTAAAAGGAGGGTGGTGCTTGAAATCATTGTTCTTCCACTGTTAACCATGGTTACCTGCAAAGAAACACGTGCCGTCATCATTGCTTTGCACAAAAAGGGCTTCACAGGCAAAGATATTGCTGCTAGGAAGATTGCACCTAAATCAACCATTTATCGGATCATCAAGAACATCAAGAGGTTCAATTGTTGTGAAGAAGGCTTCAGGGCGCCCAAGAAAGTCCAGAAAGCGCCAGGACCGTTTCCTAAAGTTTATTCAGCTGCGGGATCGGGGCACCACCAGTGCAGAGCTTGCTCAGGAATGGCAGCAGGCAGGTGTGAGTGCATTTGCATGCACAGTGAGGCGAAGACTTTTGGAGGATGGCCTGGTGTCAAGAAGGGCAGCGAGGAAGTCACTTCTCTCCAGGAAGGAAAAACATCAGGGACAGACTGATATTCTGCAAAAGGTACAGGGATTGGACTGCTGAGGACTGGGGTAAAGTCATTTTCTCTGATGAATCACCTTTCCGATTGTTTGGGGCATCCGGAAAAAAGCTTGTCCGGAGAAGACAAGGTGAGCGCTACCATCAGTCCTGTGTCATGCCAACAGTAAAGCATCCTGAGACCATTCATGTGTGGGGTTGCGTCTCACCCAAGGGAGTGGGCTCACTCACAATTTTGCCTAAGAACACAGCCATGAATAAAGAATGGTACCAACACATCCTCAGAGAGCAACTTCTCCCAACCATCCAAGAACAGTTTGGTGACGAACTATGCCTTTTCCAGCATGATGGAGCACCTTGCCATAAGGCAAAAGTGATAACTAAGTGGCTCGGGGAACAAAACATCGACATTTTGGGTCCATGGCCAGGAAACTCCCCAGACCTTAATCTCATTGAGAACTTGTGGTCAATCCTCAAGAGGCGGGTGGACAAACAAAAACCCACAAATTCTGACAAACTCCAAGCATTGATTATGCAAGAATGGGCTGCCATCAGTCAGAATGTGGCCCAGAAGTTAATTGACAGCATGCCAGGGCGGATTGCAGAGGTCTTGATAAAGAAGGGTCAACACTGCAAATATTGACTCTTTGCATAAACTTAATGTAATTGTCAATAAAACCTTTGACACTTATGGAATGCTTGTAATTATACTTCAGTATACCATAGTAACATCTGACAAAAATATCTAAAAACACTGAAGCAGCAAACTTTGAAGACCAATACTTGTGTCATTCTCAAAACTTTTGACCACGACTGTATGTATGCAGCAATGTTTCAAATAACTGAATCTTGGCAAGGTGGTGAACTTTTAATCCCATTCTATCGCAGCATGGACAAATTAACAATTGATGTAGGTGTGCTTTAAAAGAAAGCTGCATATTTTACATGGGGTCAGTTACTGTAGCAGCTTCATAAAGCAAACTAATTGAGACGTACAGTGGGGAGAACAAGTATTTGATACACTG